TGGTAGAGCACCAGTCTTGAGCAAAAGAGCTCAGGGACAGTTCCCAGAGCCCCAGAGTTTGTATCCCAGGACCAGAAAGGTGGGGGGGAGGAGAGGAGAGAGAGAAGAGATGGTTTTTCTTTATTCTGTTGGTTGCTCTTTTTTCCCTAGAGGAAAAAAAGCAGTCCTTACTAATGGTTTTTGTATCAGACATTTTCCTTAGTTCCTGTGTCTGATCTCAATTATTTACATTATTTTATGTATTTGCTTGACTTACTCATATTCTGACATGGGGAACATGTAATGTGGTTAAGCCTCAGAGGACCAGGCATGATGGTGCATGCCTGTAAATCATGGCTAGCCTACTTGGGAGACCATTGGGAAGATCTCTCAGCAGTATAAGGCCAGTCCAAGCCAAAATGCTTGAGATACTATCTAAAGGAGCTGGGGTTGTGGCTCAAGTAGAAGAGCCCCTGCCTAGCAATAAACTCAAACCTTAGTACTGACCATAAAATGGCCCCCATTGATCTTATCATTTTGTCAGTTATGGTCTTATGTTTTCTTAGATAAGTCATTAAATTTCTCTGAGGCTAAGTATCCCTTATCTGTAAGTGAGGATTACTATGCCTTAGACTTAATGAGATGTTTGCTAAAAGCACTTAGTGTACTTGGCACATAGTTGTTGCTCAATAAATACTTTCTCCTGCTGCTAGTATTAGTGTTAGATTTTCTCAGTGTTGGTTAACTCATCTGTTAAGTGGGATTACTACTACTTGTGGTACTTGTTTCTCCAGAGTCGTTTTGAAAGTCAAATGTATAGGACACTAGGGTGTAGAACAATGAAATGCAGAAAATCAAATGTAGAACGGTTGCCAACTTAAACTAGTGTACCCAGTGAAGCTGTGGAGAAACTATAACCTTCCACGATAAAGACTAAAGGAATTCATGAATGCTAACCCAGCGCTACAAAAAGGATACTAAAGGTAAGCATACTATCTAAAGAAGACAAAGTCAAAGAAGATCAAATGTAATTATGTGAAAGTAGTTTGAAGCTTCTGTCTAAACAGAGGTAGCAACATTTAGCTCTTAGAATTAGGCTGGTATAAGCGGAAGGAATAGTTTATTTTTGGGGAATGAGTTTCACTGAGGGTTGGAAAACAGATATGTCTTCATTCAGTACTGATAGACTAAGGCACATGGAGATATGTAACTTACAGGCAAGTCAGGTCCAGAGTACAGTCCTCTTCATTTGGTATTTGCCATTTACAGATATATCATCCCTTGTCATTGAAGGTTATCGATGGTTACCTTAGCTCCCTGTACTTACTAAGACCCTAGAGGAAGACTCCATGACAGTAACATAGCCATTCAGAATTTGGTCTCCAGTTTCTTTACCGTATTCCCTGCGATTACTTCTCTTTATCTGTGTCATCTCTAAGTTTTTCAGGGAAAGATTAAACATTAAAATTAGGCTTGATGTGTATTTAATTTCTCTTATGCTCTTACACAAATATGAAGCTCTTACATAAATGAATTATGAAGAAAGTAATTAAGGCGTAAAGATCAGCACATTACTATATAAAACCAGTATATAGTGAAAAAGCTCTTCAAAATGGTGTAAATGCTCATATAGTATGTTGCATGTAAGTATTAATACATTGAATAGATGCCTTGAAAATATGTATTGTAGATAGATTATAAGAATATTATATTTGTAAATATTCTGATAGGTATTACAACAGATTTATAAGCATTCCAATTTACTGATCTGAATTTTTTGGGTTATGATTTTATGAGTTCTTCTTTTGGTTATTTAATGGTTTTCTGTTGCCTTAAGACATTTTCTTGAACAATAGAAAACCTACCATCTCATACAACCTGGCCACAATTACCATGTTCTTGCTGTAGGTTGACCACATATCTGAATGGAAAGCCTAAATGGTGCTATTTCAGTCCTTCCATTCTCTTTCATGTTTTTGCCAAGTTCACAGTGGAAGTAAATGAGTGAGATAGATGCCCTGAATCTTTTTTTCCATGGCATGTCTTTTTGTTTATATACCAGAGAGAAAAGTTATATACCAGAGAAAACAGACCTCATATTTTCCTCCTCTTTTTACTCCATTGTCTCTTCTTATTGTTATTTAGGATGTTTCACAGAACTCAGGAAGATACTTTCAATTGCTGCTTTATTATAAAGGATATAACTCAGGAACAAATGGAAGAGATTCAGAGAGTAAGATTTGGGGACAGTAATATGGATATTTCATGTCCTAAGTACTGTCTTCTTATCACCTTGATGTGTTCACCAAACTAGAAATTTTCTTAAGCTCTGTAGTTTAGAGCTTATTATAGAAGCTTTATTACAATTATATAAGTATGGTTGGTTAAATCACTGTCTATTAGTGGCCAATATTTAGCCTCTTTTACCTATACCAGATATACTGTTGGGAATGGTAGAAATATTTTAATAGCTTTTTCACATAGTTGAAGGTATTCTCAGAAACCACATCAAAACTGGACATAATCTCTTGAAGCTTAATTCTAATGTAGTGTGTAAGGCTATGCCAATGAATTTTTAAAATTTCATTTGAAATAATGGTAGACAAATAGGAAGTTACAAAAACAATAGTTCCACTTCTCACAGTGTCGGCATCTCGCAAAATTATAGTACAATGTCAGTATCAAAACAAGAAATGACACTGCTACAACACTGTTAGATTATAAAATTTGGATTCATGTATTAATTGCATATATAGTTCTGTGTATTTTTATCCTACATGTAGCTGGATGTAACCACCACCATAGAACGATTTCTTCACCACAAAATCTCCCTCTCCAACCACAACTGGGTCTATACCCTAGCAACTACTACTCTATTCTTCATCTCTATAGTTTTGTCATTTCAAGAATGTATAAATAGAGTAGGAGATTTGGTTTTCACTCAGCATCTTGCTCTTGAGGTCCAGATATTATGTGTATCAATTGATGTTCCTTTTTATTGCTGGGTAGTATTTGCTGAATGTACCAGAGTTTGTTTCACCCACTGAAGGATATTTGAGTTGTTTCCAGTTTTTGCCATAATAATCGAAATTGAGAGGAGTATACATATTTCAAAATGATTTTAACCTTTAAAAAATTAAATTGTTTTTGTTGATGTATGCATATGTTGTGGGTAAATATGAGTTCTTCCTCCATGAAGAACACCAACTTCTTAGGCAGTAAAAACATACAAACTATTTCCAAGTTGCTGCTCTAATTTCTAAATCTCTCTTCTCTTCTGATCTTAAGCTCATTTCTTCTTTTCCTCTTCTCTTCCTTTCTCCTCTCCTTCCCCCCTTCTTCCTTCCCCTCTTCTCTTCTTCTTCCTTCTCCTCTTTAACTGTGCAGTTCCTTAATCTTTTGCCACACTTACTTTCCAAATCTCCTCAACTTTAGATTAATTTGGTAATACAATTTAGATTGCTGGTACTGTTGGAAAAAAAAACAGTAGCATTGGAGATTGATGGCACTACTATAAATTAACATCTAATTTACCAGATTCTGATATGATCTGTCTCTGGTCTGTGTCTTCATTCCTTTTTTATGTCTTTCTTCAAAACATATTCTATGGATACATTAATTTGCTTCTGCTTTGCCAATCAAATGCTATTTCCTATGTAGAATGTATGAAATAATAATCCTTCTTAATTCCCTCCTGTTTTATTCCCAAGTAAACTTTTCTGTAACAAGTCCAGAGAGCCAGCTTTGAGTGAAAAATCCCAGGCTCTGAGTTCAAGCCCTTGTACCAGCACAAAAACAAAAACAGATTTTTCTCACCTTTTCAGTCCTGGTGGACTATTTTTGGTTGTTTTTCTAGTAAACTGTACTTTTAAGAACCCTGTTTCATTGCCTTCCTTTCTACTTCCTAGAATATTGTCATCATTGAAGATTGCTTTTTGTCACTTTCTCGAAAGTAGTCAGATTACTTTGAAGGATTATTAAAATCTTTTCCATGGACTATCTACTTTTTTTTTCACATATATTTGTTTTGTTGTTGTTGTACTGCTGTCTAGTCTTTTGTCTGTTTTGAAATCCTTCCTGTTATCTGAAGCTATTTGGTAATTAACTGTAGACAAAACAGTTTTGGTGTGGTAGGTAGGAATATAGTCTGTAGCTATAAGCCACCTAATATAGAATCGGTTCTGTCAGTTTTTCAGAATTACAAAGCTAGTTACTTAAAAGTATTCTGTACCTTTGCCTGGTGTATATGGCTCACACCTATAATCTGGGCTACTCAGGAGGTTGCGATCTGAGGATCACGGTTTGAAGCCAACCCAGGCAGGAAAGGCCACGAGACTGTCATCTGTATCACACTACTCAGAAAAAGCACTATGTTTAAGTGGTACAGTGCTAGATTTGAAGAATCTGAGGGATAATCTTCAGGCCTTGAGTTCAAGCCCCAGGACTGGCACAATAAAAAATAAGTAAATAAAAAAACCTTCTGTGCCTTATTGCCTCTTTGTATAAAATGGTGATAATTGATTCCTCATAGGGTTGTAACATTTATTAGATGAGAATTCCATAGAATAGTATTTGTAAATAGAAATTACTTCATAAATGTTAGTTACTATTCTGTTTCTCTCCATTTGAGCCCTCATATGGTTTCATGAACTTACATATAATTTCTTTCCTTTTCTTATTAGATCACAAGTACATTTTAAGTAGAACCTGACTTATGTAAGTTATGACTTAGTAACTTACATGGTTTTCAGAGAAATTTGTATAATAAAAGGTGTTTAGTAAAAATTTAATGTATCAAATCTTAGGAAAATGACAGATTTACAGTGCTTGTTCTTCAGGGCCTATTTATATGATACAAGTTATAACCTAAGGGGAAACAAAGGAGGAGGCAACAATGCTTGATAAGAAATGTATTCATTACCTTGCTCATGTAATTGTAACCCCTCTGTACGGTATACACAATAAAAAAAAAACCAAGTAATAACCTAAGTTAATTTGATACTCTTTGTATTATGTTTCAGGAATTCTCATGAATCATTGACTGGCCAGCACCATTTTACCAATTGAACGGATGAGTTCTCAGAAATGGGTGTAGTGCTTTTAGATCCAACATGTAGAATATGGATGCTACCCCATGCTATTTATTTCTTCATGCCAACACCTTCTTTGATTGTGTAGGATCTTTGTCTCATCATCTTTGAGTTTGGATTGTGGGAAAAGAAAAGGAGTTCATGTAGTTTTTTCTCCAAGCTTGAGTCACCATGAGTAGTAGTTTAGGAAAAGAAAAAGACTCTAAAGAGAATCCCAAAGTACCATCAGCCAAGGAAAGAGAAAAGGAGGCAAAAGCCTCAGGAGGTTTTGGGAAAGAGAGCAAAGAAAAAGAACCTAAAACCAAAGGAAAAGATGCCAAAGATGGAAAGAAGGACTCCAGTGCTGCCCAACCAGGAGTGGCTTTTTCAGTTGACAATACCATCAAACGGCCAAACCCAGCACCTGGGACGAGAAAAAAATCCAGCAATGCTGAGGTGATTAAGGAGCTTAACAAGTGCCGTGAGGAGAACTCAATGCGTTTGGACTTATCCAAGAGGTCTATACACATACTGCCATCATCAATCAAAGAGTTGACTCAATTAACAGAACTTTATTTATACAGTAACAAATTGCAGTCCCTCCCAGGAGAGGTAGGCTGTCTAGTAAATCTCATAACACTGGCTCTAAGTGAAAACTCACTCACCAGTTTGCCTGACTCTCTTGATAACTTGAAGAAGCTGCGGATGCTTGATTTACGGCATAATAAACTGAGAGAAATTCCTTCAGTAGTATATCGGCTAGATTCTCTCACTACTCTCTACCTTCGCTTTAATCGTATAACTACTGTAGAAAAGGACATAAAAAACCTGTCGAAACTCAGCATGCTCAGCATTCGAGAGAATAAAATCAAACAGTTACCTGCTGAAATAGGTAAGAGGACTTGGATTATTGTTATCTGTAGCATTGGTTATCCCAAGTAATTTTGTTGAGTGGTTTTCCATATCAGAAATTTCCTAATGGGGGGAAGGAGGGGGGAGGCTGGGAAGGGATGTGAAGGGTAAACAAAGGAGGAGGCTGCAATGCTTGGTAAGAAATGTACGCATTATCCTGCCCATCTAATTGTAACCCCTCTGTACAGTATGTTCACAAATAAAATAAAATTAAAAAAAATAAAATAAAATTTAGCTGGGCAAAAAAAAAAAAAAAAAAAAGAAATTTCCTAATAGTTACCAAAAGACAGTTTGTTTCTTAATTCCATTTTATTTGTGGTTTACTTATAAGTAGACATGACTTGTGATTATTTTATAGACTTAAATGAATTAGGAAATAGATGCAACTAGACCTTTAGTGCACAAATGAGTGTTTTAATTTTTTCATTGGAAAAAATAAATTTGAAAAAGAATAGATATTTGCATATATTTGCTGCCACTCATTTTTTTTGGGGGGGGGTCTGGTCGTGGCCTGAACTCTAGGCCTGGGCGCTGTCCCTCAGCTCTTCAGCTCAAGGCTAGCGCTCTACCACTTGAGCCACAGCGCCACTTCCAGCTTTTTTCCTTTTTGCTTATGTGGTGCTGGGGAATCGAACCCAGGGCCTCAGGCATGCAAGGCAAGCGCTCTACCACTGAGCCACCTTCCCAGCCCCTCATTTTTCTTTTTTTAAAAAAGAGTACAAATTATTTTACAAGGGGTGGGATTCATCCTGATTTTTTTTCTATACATGTAAACAATACATCCCAACCAACCTCAGTCCCCTTGCGCTCCTCAGTTCATCTCCTGTGTTTCATTAGCTTGTTTCCTCAAGGCTAGCACTCTCCCACTTGAACCACATCTCTGTTTTCTGAATTTTACTGGTTAGTTGAAGAGCCTGGAGGATTTGTCTCCCTGTACTAGCATTGAACCTGGATCCTCAGATCTCAACCTTTTAAGTAGTTAGGATTATAGGAATGAGCCATAGGCTTTAAATGAATATGGCTTGAAATGAGTTTAATGAAACTTTATACCATTACTTGTTTCCAGTATTTTTAAAAAATATTTTATAGTATTATAATTTTATAGCAAATTTAGTATTATTTTAGAATTTTTTGATGCTAGTCCTGGGGCTTGAACTCTGGGCCTGGGTGCTGCTGTTGAGCTTTTCTGTGTAAGGCTAGTGCTCTACCACTTGAACCATAGCTTTTTTTCTGGTGCTTAATTGGAGATGAATCTCATGGATTTTCCTGCCCTGGCTGGCTTGGAACCATGATCCTCAGATCTCAGCCTCCTGAGTAGTTAGGAGGACAGTTGTGAGCCATTAGCATCTGGCTTATATCATATATTTTAATATTCTAGTACTATAATACTATTCCAATATTATTTTCATTAGAAACCCAAATTGTAAGCCTTAATCTTTACAATTCTTGAAATTATTCCAAGACTGTTAGGAGCCCAAGTTGCTTTTCATGGTCCAGGTAACAATATATTACATAAATCTCATTTGAGTGTTTTGTACAAATGCTAATGAATAACTTACTTTACAGGAAAGGGAAATCAATAAAGAGAATTCGTAGTTGTTAATAAATAACTCTTTTGAACAAAGATTAGCAAGAGATCTTAGAGTCTAGAAATGAACTGTTAACTTAGTTTATTGTTATCAAATGTCAGGTCTTTTACTATTATATCAGGCATCTTGGAGAACTTGTTGCTGACATAGACATTAGGAGAACACAGGATTCAGCGTTTGAGCCATTTAAAAAAGGATTTGATAGGCTCACAGGAGGCAGATGCCTTTCTATACCATTGAGGTGTTGGAAGGAAGGAAATGAGGGCAATTGTTATACATTACCGATTCAGAGATATGGTCCCAGTTATTGTTCCCTTAGTTGCAGACACACTTGTTTAGACAAGGTGTTTACATTTTCTGTGCAGTAAAAGGGAGAATAAAATGTCCATAAGACAAATTTAAACAATGAAGTGATATGAATTCTAGCCTCTCTAAATTGTTATGTAGTTTTACAAATACATTTTTGTAAAGATTGATTAATTTTTAATAGAGAAAAATTTAATGTTTGAAATGAATTCCTGTAAGCAGTTTTTGTTCACTTTTTAAATACAAACATCTTTACTATGAGTCATTTGCAGTCATGTGCCATGTAGTCAACACTTAATATGATGTTGGTCCTATATTTTTTTTCTTCATGGGGGGGTGGGTGGCAGGCCTCAGGATTGAACCCAGAGCCTCACACATGTCAGTGAAATGCACTGCCATTTGAGCCATGCCCTCCAACCCTCCTTATGTTTGTATTTCAGTTGTTGATTTTGGTGGTACTAGGGTTTCAACTCAGTGCTGTGCGTTTATTAGGCAAGATGCTCTACCATTTGATCTATACTCCAAACTGATTTGGTTTCTGAGAGATGAGCTTGCTAACTTTGCCCTGGTTGGCCTGCCTCTACCTCCTTCCCCAGAATCTGGTTTTCCAGGTGTGTGCCACCCTGCCTGGCTCTTAGAAGTTTATTATTAGTGACATCTGAGCTGTATTTATTTGTGTAAGTATATTCTGTGATGTTCATACAATCCTGGAGTTGCTCACCAAATTGCATTTTTCAGGATATGTTTCAGGTATTGACACACAACTGTGATAGTATAGGAAAGCCTATGTCATTTATTTGCCAGTCTTTGAGTTCCTATTAAATACTTTAATAGGACCTTATATATTGCAGGATTTAATTTACTAAATTTGTATCCATGTATCTTGACTATCTGTTTTTTTCTTTTCCTTTTTTTATTTTATTTTTTATTTATTTATTTTTTTGTCAGTCCTGGGGCTTGAACTCTGGGCCTGAGTGCTGTCCCTCAGCTCTTCAGCTTAAGGCTAGCGCTCTACCACTTGAGCTACAGCGCCATGCCACTTCTGGTTTTCTGGTGGTTTATTGGAGATAAGAGTTTCACGGACCCCGGCTGGCTTTGTACCTCGATCCTCAGCCTCCAGAGTAGCTAGGATTATAGGCATGAGGCACCGGCACCCGGCTTTTCCTTTTTTTAGTGGTAATAATGTCTTTAAGTTATACAATAAATTGAAGCATTTCCTTTTTACATTCTATAAGAATTTGTGCAGTTTAGTATTTTCCCCTTCAGTGTTAGTAAAATTGATAGCTATACTACTTGGGACTATAGTTTTCTTTGTAGGCAAACTTTAAATTACTGATTTTATTATTTAATAGACACAGTTGTTCAGGATTTAGATACTTAGTAAAATCAAAGCATTTGTCTCTTTTATTTAATACATTGAATTTACTGGTTTGAAGTTTGTAATATTGATTCTTCCTTTGATGCCTATCATATATGTTATATTTCTCACATTAGACCTTATAAGTAGGAATTTTTTGAAAAGAGTTCCAGGGGCACAGCAAGTGGGGAAGAGACATGACAAATGGGATTACATCATAACAAGTTTTTGCACAGCAAAGGACATAGCTACTAAACTAGGAAGATGGTCAGTAGATTGGGAGAATATCTCTACCAGCACTGTATCCATCAAAAGAAAAAAATCTGGAAGTGGCATTGTGGCTCAAGTGGTAGAACGCTTGCTTTGAGATGAAGAGCTCAGGGACAGCGCCCAGGCCCAGAGTTCAAGGCCCATGACCGAGAGGGGGAAAATCTGAAAATATCTCTCAATTAAGTTTTATAGGTTGGATCTTAAGTTCTAACTTCTAAATAATCTGTGGGTGAGAGAAGAAATGACAAGGGTTATTTAGAGAATACTCTGAATTATAACCAATAACAACATATCCAAACTTGTATGCTGCTCCTAAGAGAAGACTTTGAGTAAAAGGTAGTTATACATACTTATCTGTATAGTGACCTGAAATAATTTTAAAGTAGCAGTTTTAAAAAAAGAGTACTAGATAAACATACATTTAAAACACAGGGTACCAGAATAAAAAACACTGACTACAGAGAGATAAACTAAAGGGAAAAAAAAAAAAACTTGATACAGTACATTAAAAATAACGTCAACAGCAACAACAAAGAGTACTGCTTTGATACTTTGTAGTATGAACACTCATTTTGGTTTGTATGGTTTTCTTTTTTAATGATCAGTTTATGTGCTTTTGACAAGAAAACAATGGCTATTGTGATCCCTTTCTTAGTAAATTATATCAAAGATACAGACTGTTGGTAAGACTACCATTGATTTTTGACAATGCCAGTTGCTTAAGGTGATTTCTAGCTGAGCTTCTCTTTAAAATTAGTATTTTTTAAATTAGTAATTATTTTGTGAGATGCTGGAGTTGTAGACCTGTATGCATCTTGCTCTTCTCTAACCATTTGCTTACCACTTGGTTTGGTGGATAGTCCCCTGCAGCAGTTAATAGTATATTGTAATAGGATTTAAAAAAATTCCTTATTCAATGTATTTTCTCTTTATTCATGGGAATTGTATAAGAAGAGGTATCCAGTCACTTATTTATACTTGTCTGGATTTGTTTACTCTGTCTGAAGTGTAACAATCCAGTGTTTTTGTATATTGTTTTTGTATATTGTTCTTTAGCAACTGTGAACTCTTAGGAGTTGTTCCTTGTGCCTTTGACATGCCATCATTCTTTTCAGCTGTCTAACGTACAGATTTAAAAATAAGAAGTATCTTATTTACCACTTCTAGTTCTTTTCATTCTTTGTGTTGATCATGTGAAGTTCATAAGGAGTTCATTTTTAATAGTGTTTTAATGACCATATTTTCTAAATCTGTAATTATTTAGTAGTTTATTAGAGATAAGAGTCTCATGGCCTTTCCTGCCTGGGCTGACTTTGAACCCTGATCTTCAGATCTCAGCTTCTTCAGTAACTAGGATTTCAGATGTGAGCCATTAGCACCTGGCATGGAGCTCATTTTTTTTAATATATATTTTATTGTAAAGATACTGTATAGAGGGGTTACAGTTATATGAGTAAG